TTTATTTCGATAAAGTTCAATACTGTGCATGTTGTTTGACGTTCATAACAGAACCCTACAAACCTACTCTTAGATCGAGCCATTCAGACTCGACCAGAGTGGGAGAGACTAGATGATATAGGATAACATACCTAAAGGAGTAAACTGGCAGAATGAGCTAATCTGGCGAACCGAACGAGCGAACCAGCCGAATCGTCCTGGTCGAGAGAATACCGAAAGGGTGGTCGTGGTAGAACATCAAGGAAGCGAGAGTCTATGGACAAGAGGATACACTGAAGAGGGATTCCAGTATAAGAAGAGCAGGTCGATATCAGACACGTGGAGGGTCTGGTAGAAGATCGACCTGTCGTACAACTGGTCGTTAGATCAACCACTTCCCAGACTAGGAACGATCAGCGGACTGACCCAGGTTTGGTCGAGCACTAGAGTCTTCAAGAAGATGTCAGGGGAATCAAACCCCCATGTGCGGAGGACACGTGGCGTGGACTAATTGGCCTTTACTAAATAACCGTTTCTGACACACCTTCAGTGTGTGTTGTAATATTGGATGCGAATCAACCACCTAAGCGGTTTAGTACTCGTCTGCAAAAATTCTCTCCTCTACGGGCAAGAAAAAGCTGCAGAAGGCAAATGATCGTAGTAAGAGTAAGCGCTCTTTCTTGGATAGAAAAGAAGTTAAAGGCTAGCTCAAAAAACGAAGAAATGCCATCGGGATAGCGGATTTACCTAAAGCTGAATCAGGCTCCGTGAGGGCATAAGCAGCTTCGGCTCAAACAGAATGGTCAAAGACTGGTAGTTCATCTTCGGCTAAGGCAAGCGCTAAAAGAGTAAGCGAAAAGTAGGTTCTTCGTCTTGTTACTTTCCGTTCGCGTACTGGTATTATCTCCTCTCGCAGCTTCACCTCAAAAGTCCAGTGCCTGTTAAAGATCTGGTTTACCGAGTAGTTTTGATTTTCTTTTTTTAAAGTAAACTGATTTCACTGGATTCGTTGAAAGAAAGAAAGTTATTCAGGAATATAATACGGTTAACTCAGATTATGGCTAGTCCTATTCCTTATACTATTGATGCAACCTTTTAAACCGACCGGCTATTCCCAAGGAGGCTGACTCTAGTCCCATCTCTTCACGAATTCGGGACGGCAGCAAATCCCGTAGATGTAGATGTGATCTCGGATCTAGTCCTACCTGGCAAGGCCTCCTCTGGGGAAATGTCTCATCTAAGCTTCCCCAGCCCGCTTTCTGCCTCTCGGTGTGACATGCCATTTCCGACTTATGAGCGAGTAGGACCGGTCTTTTCCTTCTATGTCGCAGGGTTAAAACCAAATCGAAGACTCTTCACCGGAAAATCCCTCCGATGTGAGAGTTCTTTGCAGGTACTCGAAGTTCAACCAACGGGGCAGAGTTTCCAGCTAGCCATTTCTAGTCGGTTGGAGGTTTTGACATACCACCGCCTAATAATTTTTATTTTACTACAATTGGTAACTTTTTTGAATTTTTTTGAAAAAATTGGCGGCTGATTTGTAATTTGAATTTCAATTCATTCAAACATTTAAAGGAAATATCATAAGCATATTTTATCGAACACATTTCATTTTATCTTAACTTACAAATAATTACATTTCTCACAAACATTAAATTTGCTTATATATTTTTTAATTAATTACATCCATGAATAATAGTATTAATATACATTATAGTTATCATTATATATATATATATATATAATATTACTTCTATAACTGTTATAAATATTAATGATATTATACGACAATAAATTTTTGAATAAAATAAATATTTGAGTATTATGATGAACCAAAATATGTAAAATTGTTACTTTTTTGTATTAAAAATAAAATATATGTTAAATATTATTTATATTTATATTAACATAAACGGGTCAACAAGTTATTATATTGTTAAAATTAGGTTTTGAAAAAATGTTCTAAAGTACAAAACTCGATAAATCGCACAAGATTCTCACTGGTATTTCATAACAAAACAAAAATAAAAAAAAAAAAAATATATTGTTTTTTTGTGTTCAACTTAAAAATATAAAGTTACAGACCTCTTTATTTTTTGTTAAAATGGCAAGACTGCCCCTCTATTGTTACGCCTCCGCCCTCAGAACTTCCGAACCCCTTCTCCAGTTGTCATCGTCGTCGATGGCAGCCGAAGCCCACACGAATCCTCACCAAAACCAACTGGAAAGTGCCCCCAAAACACTAGAAAATTACCCGGTGCCATTATCCCCACCGCCGCCACTTATATCCAAGAGCGTGGAGCTGAACAGAGCCTTAACCGCTTCTTCAAAGTCTTCCCTTTTTTCTCTCTCTAGAAAAGACGTTCTCTTCGAAGATGAGTGGCTCCTTGCCGTCGACAAGCCTCAGGGGATTTACTGCGAGACCTTGTTATCTTCTGTGCAAACTCTCCTGAATGCCGGTAAACAAACGTTCGTTCATTTGGGCATTTTTTTGTACTTAATTTTGTACCGGAAATAAATGTTGAATTGTGTAAATTGAGTCAGAAATTGATGTTTGTGTGTCTCAACTCTCAAGTGCCATCTGTTGTATGGTTTAGTGGGTGAAAGAATCCTATAGTGTATGTTCAAGTTGATTATGCATCTCAAGGAAAGTGTTAACATGTAGTTGACAAAGGTTCTTGATTATTGTATGGGATTTTTCTTCTTAGCGTCCACCGAGGGTGTCGACTTATTGCAACTCGATATGAAATTGCAGCGATTTAGGGGTCAATTTGTTTTTCAGAATGAAGTGTTAACTGATCTCTCTAACAGGAGGCAAAGAACAATTGCAGGAGCTTCATCTATCTAACAGGCTTGACCGCGACACAAGTGGCGTGACACTCATAACCAAGTCGCACAAAGTGGCGGCCAAGCTTGTCAAGGCTTTTACCGATCACATGATAAAAAAAACTTACCTCGCCTTCTGTGTTGGTACAGCTCCAAAATGGGGAAATATTACCATTAAATCAGGACATGGCCGCTCGAGGCACGGAGCATGGCGGGTCTATGCTTCGTCGGATGTCGGCCGGTCACTGCCTGGCGGCTCAGTTGTTCGGGATATGGAAACATTTTTCGAAGTTTTATCAGTAAATGAGAAAGGCTGTGTCAAAGAGTTGTCTGCCTCCAAAGCACACTCAGAAGAATTGACTGTGGAGGGAAGATCTGAAATGGCCCCCAATGTAGAGAGAGATGAAGTTTTGGTGAGAGCTTATCCGAAAAGTGGAAGGACCCATCAAATCCGTTTACACTGCCAGTATCTTGGGATCCCTATTAGGGGTGACGTGAAGTATGAGGGTGTCAATGAATGGAAGGGGAGAGTTTATGAAGGGCATGAGCTTCATGCTGAAAGCTTGTCTTTCGAGCATCCTGTTACGGGTCAGCCTGTTCTGATTCGGGCAACTTTGCCTTTGTGGGCCACCCAAGCACTAGGGCAACTTTTCTCATAGGTGGTCAATAATGTTGGTTCATGGAATGGAAGTGTCTTCTTGTTTTTTTCCCTCTTTTCCAATGGAAGTTGGGTATCATTTTCCGATGGGAGGTTATTTTTTTTTCTTGTCAAGAGCCCATTTGAGGTGGGTTCATAGCCAGTAGGTTCGGTAACTTGACAATAGAATGTAGGAAGGGTCATTTGTTTTAAAATTGATGCAACTTTTGGCTCTCTACTTACACTCATCTGAATTATGTATACGCTTTCTTGTTCTTGCTTTCGCCATTATGTACCAAGGCTAAGGGCCTCTGGATGTGCTTTTTTAGCTGGAAGTAGCACAAGTATCTTTTGCTCAGCAGTCATTAATGCCATTTCACAATGAACAATTGCAAATGAATTCACCAATAGCCTGCATACTCACTGTTCACACCTTGAGAAACCACATAAACAAGAAAAAGAAAGAAGAAGAAGAAAGCCTAAAATCCTAAGATGAAGTTGTAAAATTTCATTCTACCTCGAAATAAATTGGTAAGAAAAAAAAAGGCTAAAACACTAGAACAAAAGTTGTTCTAATCAATCTGTACATGCTCAGATCATTCTACAAGAAGGAATGGTCTTGGATCATCTTCAACACATCATCCATCCTTAATGGCTTCACCAAATGGAAATCCATCCCGGCTTTACTGGTCTGACTAATCTCTTCTGCTGCTGAGTACGAAGTTAGAGCTACAATAGGAATGTGGACTCCGTGCACTTGCTCCTCCTTTCTGATCGACCTTGTTGCTTCAAATCCGTCCATCACGGGCATCTACATCATATCAAATCAAGAAACAGATATGTTGAGCCATTCTTTTCATGAAAAGAGCAAATTGGCCAAATATCTCATGCTCTGATCAAAATAAGAAAACCCTGTTTTGTTCATAATATGGTTGAAAAAACATTCATTCAGAAGTAGTTTACCTTACAATCCATGAAGATGCAATCAAAGGGAAGACCGCCTTCCTCTCCATCTTTTAACCTCTGGCACACTAAATCCAGAGCTTCTTTTCCGTTCTCGCAAACTTGGATATTTGCTCCGAGTTTGCTAAGTATTTTCGTCGACAGCATGCGCAATGTGTTGTCATCTTCTACCACCAAAATATTTTTTCCCTCCAAGGGCTTCTTGATACTGTCACCCCCAATCTGCACCCGCTCTACTTCGTTCTCTGGGGCCCTCACAATTTTCACCTCGGCTGGCTGGATCTTGCTCTCTTGCGAGTAAAAATGAATATCTTCCGTTATTTGAGTCTTTCCTCCGAGAAGGCTGGTGGATTGTAAACCAGCTCCGAATTCAGGGAGCAGACCAAGAACACGATAAAGGTGGGATCCATGCAGTGGTTTACTGAGGACATGATCACAAAGCCTCCCGATCATTTTCTCATCACCCAAAGAGTTGCTTTGCTTCACGAGATTCTCCAACCACACGAACTTACACGGCGCATTCTGAACCTCTTTCCTAAACCCGGCCAGGGCTGCCAACAGCTCCGAGACGGGACCCACAGTTGCATCGATGACAACAAGGATTGAGCTCGGGAGCCTTCTCGAGCCCGAGCGTTCTTCCTTCGGGCTCGGCTCGCAGAAGGTCTCGGGAGAGGACCCGGACGGTGTGGGGTCGGACTTTTGCTTTATCCTCTCGAGTGCTCGGTGGAAGTCCACGCTTCTTTTGACCGCAAGGACCCTGAAGCCGAAGCTACGGATCAACCGCTTGGATATTTTTCGGCGGGCCTCACCAGCTATATAGAGAACGACGTGGGATGCATCCGACCTCGGAGGCACGGACCGGAAGTGCATCCCAAAACGACGGTGAATGTCACCGTCATCGTTATTAGCATAACTCATACCCTCCTCTATATCGCCACTGACACGATCGCGTGCAATGAGGAACACGTTGAATCTGAAGCAAGTGCCCCTTTGGCCATGCTCCTTGTTCACTATCTTGATTTCGCCCCCCATTAGACGAACCTGGAAAAAAAAAATAATTTGGATAGATTTATGACCAAATCGAACAGCCAAAAAAAAAATAAAAAAAAAAGCAAAAGAAAAAGAAAAATCAGAGGTTACTTACTAAGGACTGAACAATTCCTAGTCCAAGACCAGTGCCTTGTCCTTGGGCTGTCTCTTTAACCTGAACAAAGTTTTCAAAAACAGACCGCTGTCTGTCTCTCGGGATTCCCTTTCCGGTATCGTCAACTTCAAACACATACTCCATGGAATCAGGATTCTCTTGAACTGTGTGAAGGCTCTCCAGATTGCTCAGGTTTCCCTTGTTCTTGTCGCACATTCTCGACAGGCAGCTCAGCATGCTCTTCCGATTGGAAGCAATTATTTCATTCTCTATGCTCGTTTTTCTGACAGTAGCCCGAACCAAGATGTGGCCTTCGGAGGTGAATTTTGTGGCATTGCTTAGTAAATTACTTAGTATCTGTTTGAGCTTTCCCTTGTCCCCCACGACATTGCTGAACTTCAAGATGGAGCCATCACACGGGTCGAGCACAACGTCCACGCCTTTTTTCATCCCAACCNNNTAGAACATGTCAACCACGTCCTCCAGAAGCTGCGCCACATTGAATTCCTCCTCCTCAAGTTGCATTTTCCCAGCTTCTATTTTACTTGTGTCCAGAACAGAATTTAATATGCCTGAACCACATAATAAACAACACAATAACAATTATTGATATTAAAAGATGTTTCCTTCATTCATTGATCCTTCTTTTTCTTTTTTTTCTTTTTTTTTTT